CCCATGCCGAATATCTCATATTTTCAGCAGATATCTGGCTGATTTCACTAGGTACTACACCACCTGGAAACTCAAACTTAAACCAGATAAAATTACTGCAATTGCACTAACAGGTAGATATATCATACTACAACCATTCCATTAGTCGACAAGTTCAATCACTCGGATACCTTGTGTTTGCACACAAATTACTTCACCCCACACATACTTCAGGTCGGTAAGAGTGCCACCTTCCGACACATCCAACTTAATAACGTCTTACGCAAGCATAACCTACTCAACACCCAAAACCAAGGTACACTGCTATAAGCAGCTCATTTGACCCCCATTCACGTATATTTTTCTTGTTTGGTTTACGGTAACCTCGGCCCAAATAGACGTTTGTGAATTATTGAGAGGAAAATCCTCAGCGACTGTATCAACTACAAATACATCATCACTTCTATCGAGTTCTTTACTTTATCGACGAAAATCTATTATCCCTGACGCGCAGATATCTAATCTATCGACACAATCTCTCCTGATATTCTGCATGCTGAAGAACTTTCTTTTGAGTTTCTCCAAGCTCTGTTCTATAGGCCTAATCAATCCCTTGCTCTCTACTTCGACGAAACAGCTCCCTCCACTCACTCCATTTCGCTGAACAATTGTGGATATCATAACCCAGTATACAGTGTATACTCTTAAGTACTCCCCCTCCCTAGCTAATGCTCTCTAGGTAAATACCCATTATTCCATACAGTTAACGCTCACTGCAGCCTCACCCCTAGTTAGCATATTTGTTTATTCCATAACTAACCGCTGCTAATTTTACTTATTGTTAGTGCTGCTTTGGCAAAGGATCCCAAGACTAAACTTTTAGGGACTTACAGACTAAAATGCAGAAAAACAAAACAGAACAAATAAAGAATAACTTAAGAATTATTACGGAAATACTAACCGGTCATTATAGATTGAATAATCATTTAACAAAATTAGAAATTCAATCGCGCAGATATCTAATGCTATAGCGAAGAGAGAGAAACCGCATAACATGTACTAAAGGAATGCCAGACACTGATGAACAAGCGGAAAAAACACCTGGGAGGGCATTTCATGGAACATAGGGGTTCAACGCGAAGAAAGATAAGAAAGCTCCGTACTAACTTTCATCAAAGAAATGGCACTTTGGAGAAACACTCTAATCCGACTAAGTGGCACAATAGATCTTTTAAGTCGCAGTGTACTAATTCCTTTTCCTATTAATAATAGTGCTGTTTTTGTGAAATTCTAGCGAAATTCTATTCGTTTTTTACTTGGTTTTTGTGATGTTCAACTCATATGTTATTTGGTGCTATTAACTGGAAGTTTAGTTCATTTTTAATATTGTTTCAATATTTTATGCCTTGATTAG